TTTCTCACTTTCTGTCTCTCTGTCTCTCTCTGTCTTTCTGGCGAGCGCGCACACCCTATAGCAAAAACCTCTCCAGAAAATAAATAAATAAATAAAGTTAAATAAATAATTCTTACAAAATAAAATAAAGAAAGAGCACCTGAGGATGGGTGGAAAGAACCTAACCTATGGCATGTGCATAGGTTAGAATGTTTTCCCATAGAAGGGAATGTTTTGTGAACTCTTCTGAACATTGTAAAAAAAATGTAATAATGTATAAAAATACTTATGTTGTATTTTAAGTGGGAAAAGTTGCCCCAGCCTGTGTGCCATAATCTCCTTGTAAAGAATAAGGCTTTTGGGACCAGCAGATAGTGCAGCAGTTATGTCACTGGACTCTCACATAGTCAACTGCGATTCAAGTCCCGGACCCAGTGCCTTGAAACTCACACTGGGCGCGTGTGCATGCATGCCCAAAATCCGAGAGGAGAATGGAGTAGGGATTGCAGTGTGGCCATCCCCCCAGGGGGCGATTTCTCACCTCTGTCTCTCTGTCTCTCTCTCTCTCACTGGCGAGCACACATGCCCTATAGAAAAAATCTCTCCCAGAAATAAAGAAATAGCAATTTACAAAAAATAATAAGGCATGTGCTGGGCATGTGCTGGGCGTGTGCCTGGCGGGGGCAGGGGCTTTTATTTCCTTCTCGATTATCTGCGCATCCTCCACTTGCCAATGATGAGTGTGCCAGCTGCATCCTCTCCCTGGCTACAGGAGAACGACCTCACTGCAGACCCAGAACCCACTTCGTTAGCACAGGTCGTCTCCAGCGATTCCGTCCATGGGAACTTGGCGCCCAGCACCAACCCAGATGAGGAGACACTGGCTGAGCCAGAAATCTCCGGGCTTTGGAATGAAGACCATAAGCTGTACCAGGTAATAGTCTTTGTTCTTTTAGATCCTTTGCAGTCAGACATCCCATGCTGTGTCTTTTCATGGCCTCTCCATCACCCATACACCTCCTCCCTGCCTGCCTCCTGCTCCTCCAAGTCCCGTGCTCCCACCGCCCAGCCTTCCCTCTCCTCCAGACCTCCAGCCTTCCTGCCCCTTCAGGCGCACAATAATCCTAAACGCCTCGCCACCCAGTGCCCGTGGTCACTGGGGCCTCAGTGGTCAGCCACGCACTGCTGCGTGTGGTCAGAGGGAGCAGAGGGGCTTAAAAGTTAAGGAAATTCCTCTGCTTACTATTAGGGAAACATATTTCTAGAAAAAGGCATGACTTTGGGCTTTCCTTGACAGGCTTTTTCAAGAAAACATGGGCTGGTCCTGCAGATTCTCAGAGAGCAGGCACAGCTGGATGAGCTGAGGAGCTGGCCCCGCAGCAGGGCGATCACAGGCTGTGGTTCTCCTCTCTTGGGAGGACGTCACTCACCCCTCAGATTCTGTATAAAGTGGTGACAGTTGCTGTCAAAGTAAAGCCAGTCGGCTCTGCGGGTCCAGGGAAGCCTGACTGACCAGGGCAGCAAGCAAGACAGGCAGGGCCGAGCTGGCCACTCCCGTACTCTGGACCCAGTTGGGGAGATGGTGGGAGCCAGCATCGCTGGGCGGCTTCCCACCCCCAGACAGCAAGGGGGGCCACAGCTTCTCAGCACAGGGCACCAGCAAGCACTGACCTAGAGTCGAGTCCCAGAAGATTCCAACAACTTCAGAAGGAAACCTTTAGGGCTGGCCTCGATCGTGACTTTCCCAGATACCGACGTTAGCAAGGCAGCCTTTCGTCTTGGTAAAGCTTCACTTGTGCCGACATTGCCACTCCAGAAAATTGCTTCCTGGGGGACTTTTCAAAAACCTTTCTTTTGCCCTGACTTAATAGGCTAGAAAACTACCCCCTGCCATTCTTTCCCAGAAATGTGCCCGAATCCTGGACGTTGCTTTTCTTCCCTTTCATTTCTTTCTCTCTTGTTCTGAAGTAAGGACTCACTGTCTCTCAGTGGATCAGAAACCAAGTCAGAGCCTCTCTCGGCCTCTCACCGGAAGCTGCTTGGCTTTCTCCATCGGCAGCTGGCGGGCCTGGCTCTGTACTTTACTCGCTGTTACCTCTTCTAAGCTGCCGCCAGGGACCCCACAGAGTAGGCTCCACCATGCTGGGCTTGCTTTTAACAAGCATGGCCTCTGTTTTTGAACTCAAGGTGCCCAAGGAGGAAGTGGATCAGAAGCCCGTGGGTGGGACGAAGATGGACAAGGACATCCTGGCCCGCACCATGGAGCAGCTACGGAGTGGGGTGGTCCGCAAGCAGGTGGTGTCAGGGCATGAGTTCAAAGGCCGCCCCTTCAACAGCAAGCCGGAGCTCATCCACTTCAAGGCGAGCCACCCTCAGTCACTGGCTCAAAGGCAGCAAGGGGTGGGAAAGGGCCCTTTCACCTGTTGTCCTACTTCTGGTTCCATTGTCAAACCTTGAAAATCCAGAGGCTCCCACAGAAAGCATGCAGCAAGGTGCCATGCTGAGTGTGAGAGGGCTCCACCTTGGTGGGAGGTCAGACACCAGCCCTAGGGAGCAAGAGGCTTCCATGGCCCTCAGAAAACCACACTCTCCTCTCAGGGCATCAGAGAGCCCCTGGGCCCCCTGGGAAGAGGAGAGAGAGAGAGTACTCACTGGCCAGGCTCCTGCTGACGGGCAGACTCCGACTTCACACGAGGCAACCCCCAGGGAGTCCAGCCCCAACAACTTGCTGATTTCAGCAGCTGCAAAGCAGGGACGAGTGAGACTAAGGCCATGTCCATCTGGTCCCACTTGCCAGACTTTGCAGGAACAAGCAATTTAAGAGTCGCCATGATTTCCCCTCATCTCTGGTCCATTTGATGGAGTCAGGGACCCACTCCGAAACTTGCATTGTCTGGTCCTCCCCTTTCCACTCTAATCTGGCTGGTCTGCAGCAAAGCCCACGTCCTGGGTGGGAGGTGCAGGGGCCACAAGACAGGAGCCTCCCACCTGCTCTTGGTGCACCCTAGAGGGGTCCTACTCAATTCAGGGAGAGAACCTTGAGAATCCTTCCCTTGAAGTCTCGCTAGTTAGCATGCACTCGTTGATCCTCTGCCTCAATGTGCTCACAGCCCGCTCCCCTCTGACCTGCTTTAAAGATGCTGCCAGAAAGCTTGGATGTAACTTCTCTGACTTTTCTAGGACTTTGATATTGGCAAAGTATACAAGAAGAAGATCACGCTGATAAATGCCACCTACACAATTAACTACTGCAAGCTGGTGGGCGTGGAGGAGCACCTCCGGGACTTTATCCACATTGAGTAAGAATGGTCAGGCTCGCGTGGGCGGTGAGGTGAGGGAGGTCTGCGGCTCAGTTCCCTCAGGTTCAGATCCAGTTTGTCTGAGCATAGCCTTCAGGTGCTATTTTAATGAACATTTTCTAGAAGCTGTTCCTCTATTTTCTCATGTTGAAGTTGTCTGAGCCCAGCCTGATTTTTTTCCCCTTGTGCATGGCTTAAGCTGTTTGCCTGGCTGCCTGTTTTCTTTCTTTATCATCGTTTTGATGTTGACCTCTCTGGTAAGTTTTCCCTGACAATTAGTATGCCTTTTCAATATGAAGATTAAAGCCATTCTTATTTCAAGACTGTTTCCTTGGACTACACATTTAAATTTTTGCTGTCGCAGTGTTTCATTTTCTTCTTTTAACTGTGTCTGCGCGTGTATGTGCGCTAGAGGGCATGGGCCCTCACCAGAGAGAGATAGGGAGGGGTGAGAGAGAAAGCAAAGCACCCCCCCCCGTGTCCCCGTGGGGAATGATCATGCTGCAATCCCTTCTCATTCTCTCCCTCCGTTTTGGGATTTTGGGCACACCTGCATGTGCATCCAGCATTTTCCCCAAGCCCCAGGGTCCAGGACTCAAAGCACCCAGTCGGCCATGTGGGATCTGACTTGAATTCACCCCACAGCACCCCGTTCCCTCTGGAGTTGGCTCCTGGGGACTGGCCTCATTCACTCACTCACTCACTCACCCTCAGACTTTCAAATGTTACTCAAATGCCTCCTTCCAGTGGTACTGGGGGCAGCAGAGAGCATAGCCGACCCAGAACTGCTCCTGCATGAAAGTAGCCAGGCAGAGCACAGAGCCTGGAATGGGCAGGAGGGAGGGAACAGAAGGCACCCCGAGGCGTGCCTCAGCCCCACTGTAGGTGAGGCATCCACCACTGAGTAGATGAAACCACCTATGTGCCACACATTGTCGTGTCTGCAGGTTCGACCCCCCTGGCCCCATGTCAGCTGGGATGTCCTGCGAAGTGCTTGTCACCTTCAAGCCCATGGTGAGTCAGAGGGGACCCGGGTGCTGATGGGCAGAGCCTGCAGCTGCTCGGGCTCTGTTGAACATCCTGACAGAGGAAGGGTGCGCTTGGTTCCTAAGTCAGGGTCACTCAAGGCCCCATTTGGCTGTTTTATTTCTAAAAAATATTTAACATGTTCCTGAAACACGAGGCAGAAGCACTATGTGGCTCCTCTGGTATACTAACTTGTCAGGGAAACCCAGGTATTTATCTTTCCATACTCTTATGAGGTAAATGTCCTAGCAGGTCCCGGGGGTTAATGTGCAACCCCTGTGCACTCTAGTTACAGAAGTGTGTAGTGGTTGGATTTTTTGTTTGTCTGTTTGTTTTATGTTGGTTTGTTTGTTTTTAGATAAATAAAGATCTAGAAGGAAATGTCTCATTTTTGGCTCAGACGGGAGGATTTTCTGTTCCACTAAAATGTTCAACGAAAAAATGTTCTGTAAGTTCAAAGGTGTCTGAGCTAGTGTTTCTTGGGGCATCCTGGCTGGAAACTCCAGGGAGGGGCTGTGTCTCCTGGAGTGTGGGTACAGATGGGGGGCGAGGGGGCCTCCTATCTCCAGATAAGGGAACTTGGGATTCAGCTAAGAAGACCCCAGTCCTTTTTACAACAGCTTTATTTCTTTCTTTTCTTTTTATTTTTCGGAGAGGTTTTTGCTATAGGGCGCATGCGCTCGCCAGACAGAGAGAGACAGAGAGACAGAAAGCGAGAAATCACCCCCCAGAGGGGATGGTCACGCCGCAGTCCCTTCTCCTCCATTCTCCTCTCGGGATCTTGGGCACGCACACACACGCACCCGGCGTGAGTTTTAAGCCACTGGGTCCAGGATGCGAACTGCGGTCGACTACATGGGAGTCCAGCAACATAGCCATTACACTAACTGCTGGTCCCACAACTGTTTTATTTCTAGAAAATATTTCACATGTTCCTGAAACTCTAGGCAGAATTGCTATGTAGTTTTGGTGTCCTCCTTGGCTCTTTTATGTTTGTTTGTTTTTAATTAAGAAAATTTTTCAAACAATGAAAAACAAGAATAGCATAATGAACACTCAGGTACCTCCTGCCTAGACCCAACATCATCCACATCTGCCACATTTTTATCATCTGGTCTACCTATCTATTCTTGCTGATCCACTTCAAAGGTAACTAGTGATATCATAACACTCCACACTCCACCCTTAAAGCACTTCTGCATCAGCTCTGGTAAACAGGGAACTCACTGTGTCACTGTCTGTCCTGACTGAATTTGTCAGCTCTTACCACAGTGATGCTGCATGACAACCAACTCCTGAGCTCAGCAGCTTGTAACCGCAATCAGTAAGAATTCTGGTCATGAGTGTGCAGGTTAACCGTGGTCTGCCTGGTCCAGGCAGGGCTCTTCTGAGCAGCTCTGCCCCGGCCACAAGTGAGCTAAGCAGGGCTTAAGCTAAACACAGGGGTGCATGAGGGAGTCCTGGCCACGGCTCCCAGCTCCCAGGGCAGCAGCTATCCAAGCATGAGCTTCTCATGGAGAATGACAAGAGCCCAAGAAATCAAAACCAACAATACAAGCACATTTCAACTCTCACTCATTTCATGTCTCCTAACAAACTGTTGGCCAGGGCAGGTGACATAGCCAAGCCTTACATCAATGGACAGGGAGGGACCCATTCCAGTGCATTAGACAAAAACAGGCAGAAGAGAGAATGAAGAATTGAGAACAGTAGTCTGCATTCTACATTAATAAAATTCACAAATTCTTGGCCCAGTCTCTGTGGCATAGTCTGTAGACTGTGGAGCTGAAAGCCACCTGCTGGCCTTAGTTGGAGTCCCTGGCTTGTTCAACCTGAAAATACACCATACAGGTGCCCATGTGGTCATGATCCTGACAGGTTGGAGGACTGGAGGAAGGCAGTTACAGTGTGGCCGAATCCTATGAAGAATGCTTCTCTCTCTTGCTCGCTCTCTCGCTCTCACTCTCGTCTCCTCCATTCTCACTCTCTCGCTCTCTTTCGTATGCACATGCTCTATAATGATTTTTAAATTATTTATTTATTTATTATTTTTAATTTGCTATAGGACATGTGCGCTCCCCAGAGAGAGAGAGAAAGTGAGAAATCAAACCTCCAGGTCCAGGACTCAAACCACATTCAGCCTCATGGAAGTTCAGTGCCTTCACTACGCCGCCTGCTGGCCCCTTATGATTATTTTTTCAGGAGGATGACGAGGTCACAATTTCTTCTCCATTGTCCTCTTGAGATTTTAGGCACACAAACACACACACACACACACACACACACACACACACTGGTTTTTCAAGCTGCTGGGTCAGGGCTTGAACCACATTGCTGGTCATGTGGGATCTAGCACCTTAACCACCATGCCACCTGCTGGAACCGTCCTTTTTTTCTTTTTTTCCCCTGAGGTTTTTGCCATAGGACTCATGTGCTTGCTGGAGAGTACAGGGATAGACAGAGAGAGAAAGCAAGACATCTTCCAGGGGAGGGCACATTGCAATTTCTTCTCCTCCATTCTCCTCCTCAGATTTTAGGGGGACATGCGTGCACGTGTACCCAGTGTGATTTTCATTTTTTTTTAACTTGTTTGAATGAAGGTGTCTGACAGCAATGGCTAAATTAGTCATGCTGCTAATTAACCTCTAAAGGTTTATTTAGCACATCAGAAATATCTTTTCTCTTGATACAAAAAAAGAAAAAGACAATGAAATATGCACCCAGTGTGAGTCCAGGACTCCAACAGCATTGGCCATGTAGGGGTCCAGCACCTTAACCACCATGCCACTTGCTGGCCCCATCATGATTTTTTTTTAAGTTAACACATTGACTAACTAATATTAACTATTGAGGGGCCAGCAAGTGGTTCAAGTCCTGGACCTGGTGGCTTGCTTTCTCACTTTCCCCCCTCTCTCTTGTCAAATTAAATAAATGAATGAATAAATAAAATTAAAATAATTATTTTCTTTTAAAAATTTAATTAATTTATTTACTTATTTTACATTCATTTACTGAGCATCATCACAGCATACAAAATGTGATTTCCCATCCAGAATACACTTCATAGAGGCTTAATCATATATGTTATCATCGATAATTTTCCATTTCTTGTTTATGTATATATATTTTCCCCCCTATTTCTCATCCTCTGCCATTTCCCACACTGTCTCTCACACTGTCTCTGGTGTCTACAGTTGCTTTCCATTCCTTTTATTTCCCCCACATTTTATTGATTCACAAAATATCTTAATTAATCTAACTACTTTCTTTTTGTTGTTGTTTTTTGCTATAGAGCACATGTGCTCGCCAGAAAGACAGAGAGAGACAAAGAGATAGAAAGCTGGAAATCACTCCCCAAAGGGGATGGCCACGCCACAATCCCTTCTCCTCCATTCTCCTCTTGGGATCTTGGGCACGCACGCACACACTCCAGGCATGAATTTAAACCACCCGGTCCGGGACTCAAACCACAGTCGACTACAAGGGAGTCCGGAGTCCAGTGATGCAGCCATTACGCCACCTGCTGGTCCCGAATCTAACTACTTTCAATAGCAAGTTCAATGATGCATACATTATCTGTGGACACATGTCTAACTAGGCATTAAATTCTGAGTAGAATGAATATGCTATAAAGTAGCACCTAGCTGATGCTATATAGCTTTCTGTGGTCATTAAATAGGTATATTTAAATATATATTTTAATTTCAAGAAAAGTGTTTTTAGATTTAATAAATCAAAATTTTTAAAAATGCTAAGAGAGCTTTGCTTAAAACTTAAATCCAGGAAACAGGTTAGGATTCTGTTCAAATAGTAAGTACATGAACCTATCGGCAGTTCAAAACAAGACAAAAATCCATAAATCTGGAAAACAAAGCATAGAAGAAAATCAGTAATGTTTTAGTCAAAACTCGTAAGATTCGATTTCACCAGTTCAGCTTCACGTACTTAATCTGTCTTCTGTTGTGGTCTGATCTTCCCATTTAAATTCTGGAATATAAAATTCAACTCCAGACTTGTCCCTACCTTTAAGTTGTCCATTTTCTTAGTTGTTTTTGAACTCTTATTTCTGTGTGTATTTAGTTTCCCTGGTATAGCACTCCCTTCAGAACTTCTGGTTTGGTGTTGGTAAATTCTTTCAGCTTTTGTTTCTCTGAGAATGTTCTTGTCTTTTCTTACCATATGAAGGATAATCTTGCCAGGTATAGTATTCTTGGTTGAAATTGCTTTTCCCTTAACACTTTGAACATATTTTCCCATTCTTTCCTCACTCACATTGTTTCCTATGAGAGGTCTGCTGTTAGCCTGATGGGATATCCTTTGTAGGTAACTTGCCGTTTCTCTCTTGCCAATCTTAGTATCTTGTCTTTGTAGTTTTGGTCAATCTGGCTATAATGTGTCCTAGAGAAGATCTTCTGGGGTTGATTCTATTTGGGGTCCTTTGTATTTCTTGGGCCTGGATCTTTGAATGCCTCTCAAGGTTTGGAAAGTTTTCTTCCAGGATTTCATGGAATAGATTATCAATGCCCTTACTAGTCTCTTCACCTTCTGGGATACCAATTATCCAGATGTTTGGATGTTTAATAGTATCTAATATTTCTTGTATATTATTCTCACTTTTTTGGCTATTTTCTCAGTCTTTGTGGTGAATTTTTCTAGGCCATTGATTCTGTCTTCTAGATCTGAGATTTGATCTTCTGTATGATCTAGTCTGCATTTAATACTTTCAAGGGAGGTTTTGATTTCCTGTATTATACCCTTCATCTCTAACAGCTCCATTTGATTCTTTTTTATGGTGTGTACTTCTTCTTTCAGATCGTCCAAGAACTTCCTCACCTCCTGGAAATCGTGGACTCTTTTCTCCTGAGTCTTCTGGAGTTCATTGTCTCTCTTCTCTTGCATCTCTGTTAGCTTTGTCACTATGAGTATTCTAAATTCTTTATCTGATATTTCCATGAGTTCCATTGTACTGTTCGTGGATGAAGAGACAGTCTATTCTTTTCCCTTGGAGGAGAGGTATTTCTTGCTTTCTCATATTTCTTGTGCTCCTGCAGTGACTTCTGGTCATCTGATGGATTGTGTGTTTCTTCCTAATTCTTAAAGTTCAATTTGAGTGTTCAGAGACATACAGGAGGAGGTGATCTGCACTCTCTCTTCTGTTCCATTTTTAACTCTTAATGCGTCAGATTCAATTGAGGAATATTCTGACCCTAATAGTACTGAGATGTTTGGATACTGTTCACTTAGACCTTAGTGCATGGAAACTGAGCAACCGAGGGGTGAAGTTAAAGAAAAAAAAGGGGGGGGGACTAAAAGAAGAAAGAAAAAAAAAAGAAAGTAAAAAAGACCATAAAATAATTTATATTTTAATTTTAAAAAGTAAAAAATGAAAACCGTGAGGCGTACATGTGTGCCACACCAAAGTTATATTTCATAGTTCAAGTTCAGTAGCCATCTCAGAATGGGCCTGGGTTTGTGCCTTTCCCAAATGGGAAGGGGGAAGGTACAAATTAGCAAGATAAAATAGGGACTTGAGAGCCCAGAGAATACTTTACCATAAAAATAATAATAAATTTTAAAAATATTAACACACAGGGAGACACAGAGAGACAGAGAAATGGAGAGAAGGATACAGAGGTTGCCCTACCCCACTAGAAATGAATCTGAAGAGTGAAGGCTCAGCAGAAGATTTTCATTTTTAGTCCCTGAAATCAATATTTCACAGCTCAAGTTCAGTAACCACCTCCTAAAAAAATTTTTTGAGAGGTTTTTGCTACAGAGTACGTGCGTTCACCAGAAAGACAGAGAGACAGAAAGCAAGAAATCACCACTCAGGGCAGATGGCCACACTGCAATCCCTTCTCCTCCATTCTCCTCTCGGGATCTTGGGCATGCACGTACATGCACCCCATGAGTTTAAGCCACTGGGTCTAAGACTCAAACTGCAGTTGACTACATGGGATTTTAGTGACATAGCCATTGCGCTAACTGCTGGTCCCAAATTTTTTAAAAATATTAACTATCACTGCATTCAGATTCAATTGTACCTAATAGCCTCCAAACCACATTATATAACTTCTTTTTAAAAACTGGGATACGGGAACCAGCAGTTAGCTTAATGGCTATGTCGCTGGACTCCCACATAGTTGATCGCGGTTCGCGTCTTGGACCTGGTGACTTAAAACTCACGCCGGGCACGCGTGCGTGCGTGCCCAAGATCCCAAGAGGAGAATGGAGGAGAAGGGACTGAGTCGTGACCAATTCCCCTGGGGCGTAATTTCTCGCTTTCTGTCTCTATGTCTCTCTCTGTCTGGCGAGCACACGCGCCTTATAGTGAAAACCTCTCCCATAAAAAAAAAAGCTGGGATACCATCAAAATCATACATTGTATTCATCATTGTGTTCTTTACTCTGTTTTTCTTCCTTCCTGAGAGAGACAGGTACCCGGATAGGGCCTCACTGTGCCGTGATTACCCCCCAACCTTCCAGCCAGCTGGGATCAATCAACGCCAGTGTGTTGAGGTCAGACTGAGATCTAAACCCAAGCCTTCCCACATGCTCCAGTGTTGCGCAGTGGCACCCTACTGTCTGTGTCACCGCGGCTGGGCCTATGTCTGTTTTGATCTAGAATAGTAACCCTCATTCCACTCTGGTCATGTCAGTAATCAGGCCAGTTTTCTTACAGAAGGTACCACACTTTGGATGTGTGTCACTGCCTCCTACAATTCCATTTCACGTGTTCCTGTCCCCTATATGTCCTTTAAACTGGATACAAGAGTAAGTTAGATCAGATGGTGCCCTACGCCTCACGCCACATTGATCAGGGGCAGGTGAAGGCTGCTCCCCACCCCTACCCCTGTGGGAACTGGTTCCAAGATCAGCCTTAAGTGACCTGGTGATAGCCTCCCCTGGCAGGTGGCCTACACGGGACACCTCACTGATATCTAGTCCCCTTTGACATTTCTCCTCCTGGTTTTAGTGATGTTGATTCTTGCCTGAACCAGCAGCTTTATGAAGAGGCCAGGAGGGTTCCTTTCTTTACTAAGTTGTTTCTTAACTATTCACTTCTTTACTACTTTTTGGTGTAAGGAGGAGTTCATATGATAATCACTCCCAGCTGTGCAAATCAGTTTTTTTTTCTTTTCTCTATTGAAGTCTCATCATGGATTCATAGATTTTTATACATTGGATGTGTTTCATTTTAGTCTCCCTTCTTCTTGGCTCTCAAATGTCCACCATGAGCTGGGCAGCTGTTTGCTCCCTTGAGTCCAGGCTCAGCCTCCTATCTCTGGGACACCCCTATCCCAGGGCTCTCGCCTTCTCCTCAGAGTGACCAGGTTGGACTGTGCTTCTCTGGAAGGGATCCCCCCAAAAAAGAGGCAAGATCCGAGTCATGGAAGAAGGCCAGACCCAGGGAGTCCTGCAGGAGTGGGTGACAGACCTCAGGCCTCTTCGTCTGCTGGGCCTAGAGAGCACAGTGAGGGGTCCAGGAGCTGCAGACCCACTGCTGCTGGTACCCCCGCCCCCAAATCAGTGTTCTCCCACCATGTGCCCCCTCAAGGTCCCAGTCATCCTGCTCTCCTACGCTCTGGTCATTGCATTATGAGGTGAAGCCATGGTAACAGAGGACACTGTCAGTTTCCTAAGCGGGAGCTTACTTCTCTCTGGGGGTGGATCTGCATTAGGGCACTGTAGAAAACAGTAAAACCCCCACCTGGACCAGGAAAGAGCGGGAGCCGTGCGGTAGCCTCAGCCCCATGCAGTAGTCCACAGCAAGGATGAACTCCAGCCAGGCAGGAACAAGGCAGCATCCGACTGCGCTGAGTCCATGAAACAAAGCAGACAAGCTCATAATGGATTTAGTAAAAGTTCAATACCAGAGGGTAACTTACACACAGGAGATGTGTTTAGTGGAGGTTGATCCTCAGTATGCAGCCACAGGAGTTAAATGGTAAGGGGAAGATGTGGATGTTTCAGGGCTAAAGGATCAAAGGGCACTAGGTTCCTACTGTGAAAAGCAAAGGAAGCAAGTTATCTGTTAGGGGATCTGAGTGACGGCTCCAGGTAGAAATTTAACTCAACCAGAAACTCCAGCTCAGCCATAGGACGGTAAGATGCCGCACTAGCGTGGAGCATCAGTCTGGCTCACTCACACAGGCGGCCTCCCTACACTGCATGGGGTGGCATTCCCTTGGCTGACTTGGTCTGCTCTCTGAGAAACTTGTCCTTTTGCCCAAGCAGCCAGTCATGACTCCGGGGCAGAAGCACACAGGGACGTACCCAGAAAACCCTCCCAGGGGCTTCTTGGTGCAACTGTGGTGTGGCCCAGGCATCCCCTGTGGTTCTGTGGCCTGTAGCTCACAGAGGGTGCAGGGAGGTGCTGCCACTCTAGAAGGACATGTCCTGGGGTCCTAGCATTTACAGCTCAGCTGATCTCCCCCAGGGGTGGCAGTCCTCAATCCCTGTTGGCCTCCAAGCCCCGTGTGCATTTTCACCTAACCCTCACTATCCCACAACAAGGAGCTGCTGGCTTGATTTTAGTAAAACTGGACTTGGGTGTCCCAAGTGGTCAAGATCAGCACATGCATCTATGAGTCCCAATTCGGGTCAGTGTCTGGGGCACGCAGTGCATGCTCATGGCAGTCTTGTCCTTCCTGCCTGGACCCTCAGGCTTCAAGGTGACAGAGGGAGAGATCTTGCTGTGGGGCCAAAGTGCCCATAGGTCTTACCCTTTGTGCTGGGCATCCTACCTGCCTGGTGTGGTTACCCTGACTTATTCTGGTGTTTTTTGGCAGCTGTCCCTGGACCAGGAGCTCATTGACTTTGGCAGCTATGTGGTGGGTGAGACTGCATCCCGGACCATCACACTGACCAATGCTGGGGGCTTGGGCACAAGATTCAGGTGCCTCCCGGCCTCCGAGCTCTGCGAGTTGGATGACTCCTGGTCCATACTGAAAGTGGTGAGTATGCCAGTCCCCAAAGACAACCCCATGTGTGGAATGGGCCCAGACACCAACACATGTTAACAGGGAGCAGAGGGGCTGTGGGGAGTGTCCTCAGAGCAGCGTAAACAGAAGAGGCGAGACCAGCGTCATAAGGAGGACCCCTGAGATCATCTGGCCTCGGGTTCAGTGGCAGCCAGGTGCTACCCCTGCCTCAGGAGTTCCAATTCTGAGTCGCCCCTGCCGTGTCTCCTGGAGTGTCTCAGGCTGCCCAGGTGTTGGGGAGGGGTCCAACCCACAGACAGCAAACTCCACATCTGCCCACGCCTGTACCACAGTGTAAGGAGAGAAGACTCTGCACATGTGCCGCTCTGTGAATGAAAGTGAAAAGTGGCCTTGAAATATCGCCGGGGTGTGGAGGGGAGCCCCTTCATAGAAATAACTTCCGCCATCCCCAGGGGGTCGCAGAGGGTTATTTGGGGGTGAAAATAGGTGGAAGGGATACTGTCCTATTTAACACCTTTCCACATTATTTGAACATCTTCTGCAAGACGCATTGAACCCCTACTCTACAGTGCCAACAGACACAGGAGGGGGTCAAGCGAAAGCCGGGAAGGTCCCCCAGGAGAGGACAGGGCTCAGTGTGGCCTATGACAGAGTGCTGCAGCAGGAGTGGGGGCAGGGATCTGAACCAGAGAGCAGGAAGGATGGGCTAGAGGTTAGGGTGGGGGCAGGAGGCGCCCTCCAGGACAGGTGGGGATGAGTTGCTGAAGGGCCCCTTTGGGTGTCCAGGGGCTCCCATGGAGAGGAGGGCTCTGCCTCCATCCAGCTACGAGGAATGCAGGTCTGCTCAGGAAGGAGACCTTGGGCCCCACAAGCTCAGGCTGTAGCAGAGCCAGCCCCCGGGTATGGATCTAGGCAGGGTGGCAGGTGGCCAGGCTGGTGGTGTGCAGAGCCCAGCATACAGGTGGGTTCCAAGATGGGCATCCTCATTCTGAGGATGAGCCTGAAGGGACTGAGGGGGACAGACTCACCCAGAATAAAGGAGGCTAACCGGTCAGCCTTGAGCCCCTGGTGAGGCATTTCTGTGGTCCTGGGACCCAGGACATGCAGGAGCCAGCAGCCCCCAGCCCAGAACACAACCGTGTCTCCACAAGGGCCCTGTCAGCAACAAGGGAGGCTAGGAACTGAATGGGAAAGGTCCATGGGGCAACAGCCAGGTACAGATCCCATGTGCTCTCTTTCAGAGCAGTCTCCTCACATACGAAGAAAAGAGTATTTATGAAAAAATCATCACCGGTCTTTCCGAGCAACAGTTTGAGGGCGATTCCTCCCCTGTGGATGTGCAGAGCTGGAAGGAGTCAGGGAAGCCGGACAGCAAGGACCAGGAGGAAGCACGTCCTGGAGGTGAATGGGGTCCCCACAACTGGCCTCAGCATCAGGGCTCTGGGTGTCTATCCCCAGCACAGGGCTTCCCTTCTGCCTCTGACTCCCCAAGTTAGAGGGGACTTGCATCCAGTGGGCTGCCAGGCAGGCCAAAGTGAGGGCTTGCGTGGACAGGAGCAGGCCCCAGAAATGCCAGAGAGCTGTGTCTTGGCTAGATACCGAGGGGACCAGGGCCCTGGTAGGGTTTGAAAGAGTCCAAAGGTATGGAATTTTCCCAGGGCTTCTATTTTAAGCCAAGAGTAAATAAGAATATTCATATATTGAAATAAATCCTGGTTATGGAGTAGGCTGAAATTTGCATTCACGGAGGCCAGCAGATGGTGTCATGGTTACGTTGATGGACTCCCACTTGGCTGACTGCAGTTCAACTGTCAGCCCCGGCAACTTGAAACTCACACTGGGCCTTGTGCATGCATGCCCAAAATCCAAAGAGGAGAAGGGATTGCAGCGTGGCCATTCCGCCTAGGGAAGGATTTCTCACTTTCTGTCTTGCCGTCACTCTCTGTCTCTCTGGCAAATACACATGCTCTATAGTAAATATTTCTCTAAGAAAAAAGAAATTTGCAGGGACAGGAGGATGACATATGGTTATGTCCATCGCAGGACTCCTACGTAGTCGACTGTGGTTCAAGTCCCAGACCTGGCTGCTTAAACACAGGCCGGATGTGTGTACATGTATGCCCAAAATCCCGAGAGGAGAATGAAGGAGAAGGGATTGTGGCATGGCCATCCTCTCTGGGGGGTGATTTTGCACTTCTGTCTCTCTGTCTCTCTCTGTCTCTCCAGCGAACGCACACACCCTGCACCGAAAATCTCTCTCTTAAAAAAAGAAAGACAGAGGGACCAGCAGTTAGCATAATGGCTATGTCGCTAGACTCCCGTGTACTCGACCGTGGTTCGAGTCCCGGACTCGGCCACTTAAACTCACACCAGGCGCATGTGCGTGCGTGCGTGCCCAAGATCCCAAGAGGAGAAAGGAGGAGAAGGGATTGCGGTGTGGCCACCGCCCCCCGCCCGGGGGATGTTTCTCACTTTCTGTCTCTCTGTCTCTCTCTTTCCGGCAAGTTCACGCGCCCTATAGCAAAAATCTCTCCCCAAAAATAAAAAAAGAAAGACAGAGGGAAATTTTCATTCATGTTGAAGCTAACTAAAAATCTGAAGAACCACCAGATTGGCTACATGGTAACGGGGGGGGGGAGGGGGGAGCACACAAGTCTCTGCATACATCACTGGGACACTGGGCTGTCTGGATGACCCTGCCCGCATGGCTGTGGTTCTTGTTTCCTATCAGCTATGCAGAGTGCGTATGACCCCCCAGGATGGTATTGAGAGCAGTCATTAATGATACGTATCCAGTGCTGAGCTGAAGCAGAAAGCTCCCTCTAGGCCCTGGCCCTGCCCTAATGCACCCCAGCTCCACCCCCTGCCATGACTCCTACCTTGAACTATTTTCATCATTCCTTTGTTCTCTTTATAGTTTCCCCCCACATGCACAGACATCCAGAAATCAGGAGGCTTCTGATTGGGCCTTTGCATAAACGTGTTACATAAAGAACCACATGCATGTGTTCTTCCATGCACTAGCCCACTGCTCAGGGCTCAGCTCCTGAGGTTCACCCTCAGTGCTCATGTGCGAGCTGCACTTCCTCTGTTTCACCGCTGTGTGGTTCCCTTTCATGTATGTGCCTCAAGTTGTAGATGCATTCTCCTGCCAGTCCATGTGTAGTTGGGTCAAGGTCTGTGCCATCAGGAACGTCGCGCTCTGCACCCATGCGACTCCCTGTGTGAGTCTCTTCACGTGGTTGGTGTTCCTTGCTGCATCCGAGAGTATGCCCAGCTTCACTTTCACTAGTTAATGTCAAGCTCTTTTTCAAAAGTTGTGCTAATTTGCACTCTCGTCAACAGTGAGTATAAGACTACTGTCCAATATGCCTGTCCCTAGCCACAACTAGCTATTTAAGTGTAGATTAATCCATGTTAAATAATAGTAAAAAATCTATTTCTCCTTCCAATGAACTATATTTCACATGTTCAATAGCAACACGTGGCCAGTGGCTGTCCCTGTCACAGAAAGCTCTAAGGAGCCACGCTGGGTTCAGAATGCCTTTTTCCAGGACCAGCAGGTGGCGTGGTGGTTGAGACGCTGGACATTCCCACATGGCCAACCATGGTTTGAGTCCCGGACCTGGTGGCTTGCTTTCTCACCTTCCCCTCTCTCTCTGTGTGTCTCTCTCTGGTCAAATAAAAAATAAAGAGATAAATAAATGAGTGGATAAATAAATAATTTAAAAATTAAAAAAAAAGAATGCCTCTTTCCGTGTCCACATGGACCCAAGTCACAGGGCTTGCTGTGTCCCCTCTAGGAGGTCTGCGGGGCAGTTTTCCCAGATCAACAATAAGATTGCATGTTTTCATGTGCTCATGTACTATTTATGTTTTCTTTTGCATGAGATACCTGCTTGAGGCTTTCACTGATTTTTCTGTAGGGTTATTTGTCTCTTTCTTACATAGTCACAGGACTTCTTAATGTATCCTGGATACTAACTTTTTGTCCGTTTGGAAAATGTAAAACATTGCCTCCAGTTCTGTGGCTTGTCTTTTTATTCCCTTTATATCTGTTTCTAACACAAAACTCTTAATTTTAAGGTTTGCAAATTTATCACTGATTTCTTTTGGAGTTCATTTTTGGGTTTTTCTTTAAGACTTATTTATTGATGGGACCAGCAGTTAGCGTAACGGCTATGTCACTGGACTCCCATGTAGTCAACCACGGTTCGAGTCCCGGACCTGGTAGCTTAAACTCATGCCAGGCGCGTGTACATGCGTGCCCAAGGTCCCAAGAGGAGAATGGAGGAGAAGGGATTGCAGCGTGGCCATCCCCCCGGGGAGTGATTTCTTGTTTTCTGTCTCTGTCTCTCTCTGTCTGTCTGGCAAGTGCAAAAAAAAAAACCTTATTTATTTAATTAATTAATTTATTATTATTATTATTTAATTTCTATAGGGCACATGTGCTCACCAGAGAGAGGGGAGAAGAGAGAGAGTTAGAAAGCAAGCCGCAAGGCCCAGGACTCAGCCCGTAGTTGGCCATGTGGGATTCCAGTGTTTCAACCACCATGCCGCTGGCTGGTCCCTGGAGTTTATTTTTTATACTGCTTTAGCAAGTTCTTTCTGTCCCTAGGTTATGAAGACGTAAGATATAGCTTTCATGTCTAAGTCTATGATTCATTTATAATTAAATTTTTGGGTGATGAAAGTAAGGACTGAGATTTTTTTTTCACGTAAATATTCACTACATAAAAGGGCTTCAGCTCTAGCCCAGCTAGAAGTACATGCTGGACATTGCTGTTAGGTGGACTGAAGCCATGTGGGAGGCCTGGGTTCAGTTCCCTGTTCTACCCTAAAAAGCTGGGCGTGGTGCCATGCCTCTCTAGACCCCGCTCCTTGGGATGCTGAGGCAGGAGGACTGTGAACTTGTAGCCAGCACAGGCGATACAGAGAGACTCTGACGGAGTGGCCAGCAGGTGGCACTGGACTCCCACATAGCCAACTCAGCAGTTCAAGTTCTGCAAGTGGCAGCTTGAAAATCACACCGGGTGCATGTATATGCATGCCCCAAATCCCAGGAGGAGAATGGAGAACAGGGGATTGTGGTGTGGCCATCCTCCTGTGGGGTAATTTCTCACTTTCTCAATGTCTCTCTGTCTGTCTCCAGAGAATGCATGTACCCTGTAACAAAAACCTTAAAAAAAATTTTTTTTTAAAGAGGAGGGGGAGAGACCAGCAGTTAGCGTAATGGCTATGTCATGGACTCCCACGTAGTCGACCGCGGTTTGAGTCCCGGACCGGTGGCTTAAACTCATGCCGGGCGCATGTGCATGCGTGCCCAAGATCCCAAGAGGAGAATGGAGGAGAAGGGTTTGCAGTGTGGCCATCCCCCCTGGGGAGTGATTTCTCGCTTTCTGTCTCTCTGTCTGTCTGGCGAGTGCACACGCCCAATAGCAGAAACCTCTCAAAAAAAAAAAAAAAGAGGGGGGGGAACCAGCAGGTGGTGTAGTGGTTAAGGAGCTGGACTCCCACATGGCCACCCGTGGTGTGAGTTCCAAACCCAACAAAACTCACACCAGGCACGCATGCATGTGTGCCCAAACTTGCGAAAGGAGAAGGGATTGTGGTGTAGCCATCCCCCCAAGGGGTGATTTCTCAACTTCCCTCCCTCTGTCTCTGTCTCTCCAGCAAGTGCATGCATCCTAAGGCAAAAACCTTTTAAAAGAAAAAAGAAAAAGAAATTAACCATTGAAAATATTATTTTTTTGAAAATAGAATTTGTTTTTAGAGGTGTTTGCTATAGGGCATGTACGCTCGCCAGAAAGACAGAGAGAGACAGAGAGACAGAAAGTGAGAACGCCGCCCTTGGGGGGGATGGCCACACCGCAATCCCTTCTCCTCCATTCTCCTCTTGGGATCTTGGGCACGCATGCACACGCGCCCAGCGTGAGTTTAAGCTACCGGGTCCGGGACTCAAACCGCAGTCAACTACATGGGAGTTCAGTGACATAGCCATTACACCAACTGCTAGTCCCGAAAATAGAATTTTTATGAGTATCATTTAAAATAACACCCCAGGCATGAAGCACTGAGTTATATAGCTAACAAAAAATGTTCAGGATCTGGGACCAGCAGTTGGTGTAATGGCTATGTTGCTGGACTCCCATATAGTCAACTACAGTTCAAGTTCCGGACCCAGTGGCTTAAATTCACATCAGGCGTGTGTGTGTGCCTGCCCAAGATCCCGTGAGGAGAATAGAGAAGGGATTGTGGTGTGGCCACCTCCCCAGGGGGTGATTTCTCATTTTCTGTCTCTCTGTCTTTCTGGTGAGCGCACACGTCCTATAGCAAAAACCTCTTAAAAAAAAAAAAAGTTCAGGATCTATATGCCAAAGACTATAAAAACTGGGACCAGCAGTTAGTGTAATAGGTATGTTGCTGGACTCCCATGTAGTCGACCGAGGTTCGAGTCCCAGACCCGGTGGCTTAAACTCACACCAGGCATGTGTGCGTGCATGCCCAAGATCCCAAGAGGAGAATGGAGGAGAAGTGATTGTGGCGTGGCTATCCCCCTTGGGGGGTGATTTCTTGATTTCTGTCTCTCTGTCTTTCTGGTGAGCGCACACGTCCTATAGCAAAAACCTCTTAAAAAAAAAAAAGTTCAGGATCTATATGCCAAAGACTATAAAAACTGGGACCAGCAGTTAGCATGATGGTTAAGGTGCTTAACTCCCATATGACCAACTGTGGTTTGAGTTCCAGACCTGGTGGCTTGCTTTCTAAGCTTCCATTTCTCTCTCTGGTCAAATTAAAAAAATAAAAACAGTGACCAGCAGATGGCCTAATGGTTGTGTCGCTGGACTCTCACATGGCTGACTACAGTTTGAATCTTGAACCCAGAGGCTTGAAACGCACCAGGCATGTGTGCGTGCATGCCCAAAATCCTAAGAGGAGAATAGAGGAGAAGGAACCGTGGCATGGCCATCACCCCTGAGGGATGATTTCTTCCTTCCTGTCTCTCTGTCTCTCCAGTGAGCACATGTGCCCTATAGCAATAATCTTTCTAAAATATTATTAATCATAACAAAACTAAGGGATCGGCAGTTTGGATAATGGCTATGTCGCTGGACTCCCATGTAGTCGACAACGGTTCAGGTCCCGGACCTGGTGGCTTAAACTCACACCAGGCATGTGTGTGTGTGTGCCCAAGATCCCAAGAGGAGAATGGAGGAGAAGGGATTGCGGCGTGGCCATCCCCCCTGGGGGGTGATTTCTCGTTTTCTGTCTCTCTGTCTCTCTCTGTCTTCCTGGCGAGCGCACATACCCTATAGCAAAAAACTCTCAAAAAAATAACAATAATAATAATAACAAAACTAAATAATTCTCTTTTTAAAATTTATTTAAAAATTATAAACTGGACTTTATCAAAATTAAGAATGTTCTTTGAAAAACACTGTTAAAAGAATGAAATGATAAGCCACAGACTGGCTTAATATCATTAGACATTTAAGAAATCCCGATTAAAACCCCCATGGGATATACTGCACACCTATGAGAATGGCTGGAGAGGAGCAACCTTAACTCACGTTGCCACTGGGGCTGCAAAATGGCCCCGCCATCTTGAATTCTGCTGTTTCTTATAAAGTATCATACAACTCAGCAATCCTGTCCTGGGCATTTGCCAAGAGAAATGAAAACATATTCACATACAAAAACCTGTATAGGAATGTTTATAGAGGGTTTCTTTATTTAAATTGGCTACAGAGTGCATGCACTCACCAGAGAGAGACGGATTGAGAGGGAAAATCTCCCCCTGGGGGGATGGCCAGGCCACAACCCTTTCTCCCCCATTCTCCTCTCCTCCTCACGCACACAGACCTGTCGTAGTTTTTCAAGTCACCAGATCTAGGACTTGAACCATACAGTCAACTATGTGGAATCCAATGGCCTTAACCACCACGCTACTGGCTGGCCCTAGAGTACTTACTGGTAATTACCGTGCTCGCTTTGGCAGCGCATATACTATTTGTAATTACCAAAACTAACCCTCCAATGTCCATCACGACAGCTGCTGTCCATCCCGACAGCTGCTGTCCATCCCTGCCAGGGGTGCTACCCAGCAATAAAGAGGACTACTGAGGGACAGGCAGGGACATGACGACTTCAAATTGGTCGGACTAAGGGAAAGGAGTCCCACTGTAGCAGGAGGGAGAGGCAGGATCCTATCCTGGCACCCAGTGCCCCCTGTGCTGTGCACGGCTCCACTGTGTTCAGAAAGGGCGGAGCCCAAGCTGTGGGTGTGGGGGTAGTGACTGTCCTGGATGGTCTAGGCAGAGCTGCCTCTCCCCTGCTGAGCCAGCCCTCATTGGACACCCCTTCTCTTCCAGAACCAGAGAGAACATCTGTACCTACTGCCCTGGCAATGACTTCCAGCGAGGAGCAGACAGAGATCGCATTGGGGAAGGTCAGCCAGCCCGTCCTGCTCAGACCCCGGTTGCCACTAGCTGGGAGACAACCCAGCTTCTCTGACCCTGGGCACCCTCCTGACCCACAGACACCCCCCACCCTAGTTAGCCCTTCAGCTTGACCAAAACAGGCTGGGCTGTGCCCGCTGCTGGACTCGCAGCCTCCAGACATCTTGCCATCTCAGTTCACGTCAGGTCACCCTCACCCCAAGCTGGCCCATGGACCAGAGCCACAGGGCCAGTTTCCTACATGCTTGATACGTGGTCCAGCCTGGAGAGGACACTGATGTGGACCCCCCTCTGACAGGAGCACACTTGCACATGCCAAGTAGGGTTGGAGGTAGCGGGAGGGTGTGGAGAGGGCTTCAAGCTGCCATCACCTCCCCTTCGGCTAAGATCCGACAGTGAGTCCTTACAGGGCAGGGTCAAGTTCAGGTCCAGTGCCTGCGTGTGGCCGAGCAGTCACCCCAGAGACATGGGTCCTGCCACCATTCATCCTTGCAGTGATGTGGCCTTTGTGAGCATCAATGGGAGGAGCCATACTAAAAACCACGAAACCTGACTGACACATGCGGCATTTCTCTTCCTGTGCAGATAACAGAGGGAGAAATTGGCCCCTTTAGCTCCATCAAAGTGCCTGTTATCTTCACTCCAGTCATCCCAGGAGAGATCCAAACCAAGTTCAAGGTCATGTTTAAGAACCCGCAGTGCCCCACAGTAAGTATCCCCGCTGTTGCATGACACACGTTGTCCCCAGGCACTGAGTGGCCCCTCCACTCCCCAACCACATGAGGAGGCTACCCTTACTGCCCACAAGGACGTCGTCTGTCCACGCCTGGGCAGCTAGTCGATGGCACAGACTGTGTGTCACAGTCAACACACAGAAGCACAGAGTCCGGAAAGTGCACACACCCTACACACACATCTGTTGTACGCATATACACGCAGAGCCCTTTCTGTCGCCTTTTTTTTTTTTAAAGAGAGATTTTTGCTATAGGACACATGCACTTGCTGGAGAGACAGAGAAAGACAGAGAGACAGAAAACAAAAAATCACACACACACACCCCCACCGGGGGTTGGCCATGCTGCAACCCCTTTCCCTCCAGTCTCCTCTCAGGATTTTGGGCACACATGCGCACGCACTTGGCATGAGTTTCAAGCCAAGTCCAGAATTTGAACTGTGGTCAGCCAGGTGGGAGTCCAGCAATGTTACCATTACACCGTCCGCTGGCCCCACAGAGCCCTTTCTCTTCATTGCTAGGAACGTCTTTCTTCATTCCCAAGTTAAGTTTTATTTGCTATTCTTTAGCATTTATCAGTTTGTTAAATTAGGATCAGAAACTATTGTATGTAATCTCTCTCTCTTTAGGAATTTGTTGAGGGGTGGCCAGCAGGTGGTGTGGTGGTTAAGGGTGCTGGATTCCCACATGGACATGGCCGACCGTAGTTCAAGTCCCGGACCTGGTGGCTTGCTTTCTCACTTTCCCTTTCTCTCTCTCTCTCTCTCATTCTGTCCCTCTCTAGTCAAATTAAAATAAATAAATAAATAAATAAAGTCAAATAAAATTATTCTAAAAAACATACCAAAAAAAAGAATTTGTTGAGGGGCTGACAGGTGGTATCATGGTTAAAGGCACTGGATTCCCACATGGCCAACTGCGGTTTAAGCCCCAGACCTGGCAGCTTGATTTCTTTTTTTTTTTTTTTTTAGAAATAGCAGGTATATGTATTTCATAACGGAAATGATTACAATATATTTTTGGTTAAAAAATGTTTTCTTAAGAAGTTCTAACAGTGAAAATAAAGTGATTAACAAGTGGGTCAGAGCACTAACTTTTTTTTTCAATTTATTAATTCACTTTACACCATCACAACACACAAATGAATTTTCCATCCAAAATACACTGTGCATTGTCTCAATCAAGTACATCCACATATATGTTCTCAGCAAATAATTTTCCAATTCTTACGTCCTGCATACCTTGCCCTTTGTCTTGCCATCCCTGATTCCCCATCCCCCACCCTTTGCTATGTCCCACCTTCCCCCCCCTTTTTCCCTGGCATCCATGGTTGCCCTCCATACCTTCCTCTGCCCCCCCCATTTAGGGCGCATGCACTCACCAGACAGACAGAGATAGAGAGACAGAAAGCGAGAAATCACCCCCCAGGGGGGATGGCCATGCCGCAATCCCTTCTCCTCCGTTCTCCTCTCGGGATCTTGGGCATGCACGCACACGCACCCGGCGTGAGTTTTAAGCCACCGGATCTGGGATGTGAACCGCAGTTGACTACATGGGAGTCCAGCGACATAGCCATTACACTAACTGCTAGTCCCATAAATAAATAATTTAAAAAAAAAAAAAAAGAATTTGTTGAAATGTTCTTTGTGGGGCCGGCAGATGGTGGGGTGGTTAAGAGCACTGGATTCCCATGAGGCCGACCGCAGTTCGAGTCCCGGATCTGGAGGCTTGCTTTCTTGCTTTCCCTTTCTCTCTCTCTCTCTGTCTCTCTCTGGTCAAAATTTAGAAATGATAATAACAACAAATGGAAACAAATAAATAAATATGGGGGAAAAAAAAGAAATGTTCTTTGTAACCAAAGACAAGATTGATGTCTTTAAATGTAATGTAATAAGTGCATATAGAGCAACCCTCTGGCATCATGGTTCAGGAGGCCAGATCCTATATGGATGATTGTGCAGTTTGAGTGCCAGACCCAGCAGGTGTGTGTGCGCGAGTGCACAAAAGAAGGGAGAAATGGGGGAGAGGAATTGTCATGTTCATCCCCCCTTAGGGGTGCTTTCTCACTTTCCTTCGCTTTCTCTCTTTCTCTGTCTCTCCCCAGCAAGCACACATACCCTCTGGTAAATTAAAAAATATAAAGTACATATAGGGGCCAGCAAGTAATATGGCAGTTAAGACACTGGACTCCCACATGGTTGACTGTGGTTCGAGTCCTGGACCCAGCGATTTGAAACTCACACAAGGTGTGCGTGTGTGTGGGTGTGGGTGTGGGTGTGCCCAAAATCCCAAGAGGAGAATGAAGTAGAGGGGATTGCGGTATGGCCATCCCCCCCACAAACAAGGGGGGTAGTTTCTCAGTTTCTCTCTCCCTGTCTCTCTCTGTCCCTGGCAAGCACACACTCCCTATAGCAAAAATCTCTCTTAAAAAAAAAAAGTGCATATAAAAAAGTTTATTTGCTGGGGCCAGCAGGTGGTGCAGAGGTTAAGGCACTGGACTGCCACGTGGCCAATTGTAGTTCGAGTCCCAGACCTGATGGCTTGCTTTCTCACTTCCCTGTCCCGCCCTGTGTCTCTCTCTGGTCAATTTTAAAAATAATAATAATAAATGAAATTAAATAAAAAAAATAATTCCTTGAAAAAAGTTTATTCACGGGGACGAGCAGTTAGCGTAATGGCTATGTCGCTGGACTCCCATGTAGTCGACCACAGTTCGCGTCCCGGACCCGGTGGCTTAAAACTCACGCCGGGCATGTGTGCATGCATGCCCAAGATCCTGAGAGGAGAACGGAGGAGAAGGGATTGCGGCATGACCATCCCCTCTGGGGAGTGATTTCTCGCTTTCTGTCTCTCTGTCTCTCTCTGTCTGTCTGGCGAGCGCACGCGCCCTATAGCAAAAAACTCTCAAAAAGAAAAAAAAAGTTTATTCACCTAAGGGTGGTGAAAAAAAAACTGAATTATTCACTTTTGATGTTCCTTTCACAATATCTTCTTATCTTCCCTCATGATACTATTTTTACTAGATCGCCTTATATTTCCAACAGGTGGGCCTTATATAACTCCTTCATTGGCAGATGCACGAGGGGTATAGCTGTTTCTTCTCTGCGAATAGTTTCATCAGAACCAAATACCCTCTCTATCCTGCTGCTTCGTTTACCTTTCACTAACCTAGGCTCTCTCCTTACCTCTGCAGCTAAGTCCTGAGCTGTTGGAATCTTGACTCTCGTGACTTGAAGAACACACTGGGCTCATGTGCACGCGTGCCCCAAATCCACGTGGGATGGGGAGACTGAGGGAAAAGATCAGGGCATGACCATGCCTCCACTGGGAGGTACTTTATCTATCTCTTATTCTCTCATTCTCTCCTCCCTACCTCTATGGCAAGCACACAATCCCTCTGACCACAAAAAAAAATTCTGGGGCCAGCCAATGATGTGGGCGTTAAGGCAGCTGGATCCCATCTGGCCGACTCTACGATTCAAGTTCCAGACCCATCAGCCTAAGAAACACACCAGGTGTGTATGTGTGCTTGCCCCAAATTCTGAAAAGGAAAACTAGAGAAGGTATTACGGCATGACCATCTCCCTGGAGGGATGCTTGCGCACTCCCCCCCTCCCTAGGCATACATACCCTATAGCAAATTTTAAATTTAAAATGTAAAAAAATCCCACTAATCTGACAACAATAACATGGCCATGCCTCTCATTCCCTTTGGCACCTGCCTTTTTTAAAAAGATTTATTTATTTAATTCCACTTATTATTATTATGTTTTAATTTGACAAGAGAGAGACAAAGAGAGAGAAAGGGAAGGGAGATAGTACGCCACCAGGTCCGGGACTTAAACCATGGTGGGCCATGTGGGAGTCCAGCACCCTTAACTACCATGCCACCTGCCAGCCTCATCACCTGCTTATTTTTAATAACTATTTCTTTTTTTTTAAGATTTATTCATTTATTTATCTATTTAGTTCCATTTGTTATTATTTTTTAATTTGACAAGAGAGACACACAGAGAGAAAGAGGAAGCGAGAATGCAAGCCACCAGGTCCAGGACTCGAACTGCAGTCAGCCATGTGAGAATCGAGCACCTTTGACCACCATACCACCTGCTGGCCCCTGTAACTGTTTCTCTTAAAGAACCAGGTTTTGTCTATCAACCCAGATGAATATTTTCTGTCTTTACTGGAAAAATCCAGTACATTCACAAAGCAGAATAAATAATACACTACTGTATTCCTTCCTTCTTAGTTTATGTTCATTATTTATTTGAAAATACTATTTCTTCTTATTCAGCTTTTTTATTTCCATTGGTTTGATCAAGTTACTACATATTCTATTTTTTCCTCTTTATTGTTTGAAAATTCTACCTTTTCTCAGCCAAGAATTCCCTCCCTTGCCTCAGCCTTCATAACTCCACCAGACTTCCAGAGAGTTCTGCAGAAAAGTGCCCTGCAGTCCTCCATCGTTTCCACGGCTCTCAGTTTTCCATGGTCCCTCGATGACCCTCCCTGGGGCCCCTTGGCCTCCTACAGTCCCCCATAGTCCCCATGATTCCCACAGTCCCTCATGATCTCATTGTCTTCTACAGCCCCCTGCTGTCTCCCCCAGCCCTCCGCAATACCTACTGTACCCCAGTCCTCCACAGTGCCTACCGTCCCCCAGTCCTCCACAGTGCCTACCGTCCCCCAGTCCTCCACAGTGCCTACCGTCCCCCAGTCCTCCACAGTGCCTACCGTCCCCCAGTCCTCCACAGTGCCTACCGTCCCCCAGTCCTCCACAGTGCCTACCGTCCCCCAGTCCTCCACAGTGCCTACCGTCCCCCAGTCCTCCACAGTGCCTACCGTCCCC